TCTCTCTCTCTCTCTCTCTCACACACACACACACACACACACACACACACACACACACACAAAGGGGGTCCGAAATCCCCCGACAGGTGAGTGCCCTGGGGGGCCCCGGCCCCCAACCGGGTGCCCTGCCCGGCCAGGCCGCCCGGGACCTTCCCTGGGCCCCTGCCGGTCACCCGGGCGGCCCGGATCCCCACTCAGGAGTTTTCTGCATTGTTATGATCCTGGCTATTCCGAAGTGCAATAACACAAGAAAAGACGATGCCATTCAATTGCAAATGAAATGAAAGAACTTGGAGAGAACTAGGCAAAGGAAGAAGAAAAAATAAGGAAGAAAGAAGAAGATGTACACCAGCAAAAGACCAATGACAAATCGCCCTCCACTCGCCAACTCGCTTCATCCTCCTTATCTCCCCCACCCTCAAATTCAATAAATAATAATAACAACAATGAATGACTGAACCAGAACCAATGTCTGAATCTCCTCCTTACTGCCAGCAGTACATGAGGTTCACCATAGCCACGACCTACGTCTACGACCACCTCCGAATGGTGGTAGCTATGGTGGACAAGTGGCCGATGTTCAGAGGACAATGCAGAAGCAGGTATGTCCCCTACTGCTCAGACCGCCATGCCTAACTCTGACGGGAAGCCTCCTTGAAGCAGCGCACCCCACTGGGGCCTTCCAGGTGCAGCGCCAACCAAGGAGAGGAAGATGTCGTCCACCATAGCCAGGTAAGTACCTCCACCACTCTCCTCCACATCCCTTCCTTCCTCTTCCTCCTACCTGGTCCACTCCGATATGGCCGAAGGTGGAGGGCGAGGTTCTCCTCTCTCCCAGTGCTGCCAACACCAGTGCTCTACCGCCCAGCGCTCCAGCAGTGTGACTCCAAACCTGCACACCGCAAATTAGGAGCTCATTGCTCCTCCATGAGATATACCGAGAGGCTTGCCTCGTGGGCGGTGACTTTCCAGGCCGCTCACCCTCCCAAGCAACTGGTACCGTCCTCCTTTCGGCGGGAAACATCATTGCAGGTCTGATATCGTCTGCAACTGGACCTAGACTCAGACTGCTGGGCTGGTACAGTGGTACCCCCCGAGACCTAGGCCTACCGGACTTCTAAATTCACTCGGCCTCCAAAGGTACTAACCTTTTCTCTTCTTTGGTCGACCTAGCACTACTCAAGCACACCCTAAGCTATGTGGGCCTACACTACTGCAACTTGAGTGCTAGCCTAACGCTACCTGAGTGTTTCCCCCACTGCAACCCTCAAAGTCACGGCTTAGGGCCTCCCAAACATACAAGTACCCTGGCGGGTCACACACACAGTCAAGCAGTCATGCTCTCAGACAGGCACACCGGAACCAGCAAGCACACACACACACAGACTTAGAAAGCTCAGCAGAAAGTGGGATTCTCAGCAAGGCACACATTCCCGCGGCAAACTCAGAAATCAGCAGAGTTCTCAGTCTGTGATTTTGCAGGTCATTACTGCATACGCGTACACGTATGTGTGCAGGAAATGGGGCCTTTGGGGGAATGGGAAGGAGATTGGTTTTTGAAGTACCTTGTAGGTGCCTGCATTTGGGTTTAACAATGGCATCATATGTCTTGAAACTGACCCGTAAGTAGCGCTGGGGGGGACATCCTATAAATACCCTTATCACAGACTGAGTCACTGCAGCAATGTTCACAACAAAAAAAGTCCATCCCCAACCAAGCCACCACCCAATAAAAGTCTGTTAGTGGTCTTTCTTCTTCCTTCTGAATCCATACCTTTGACCACCTAACGAACGAACAAATCCACAAAACTCTCTCTCTCTC